ACATAAGGAAACATTTAGTTAGGAAATAAGTATAAGTTATTGATAAAGAATCAACCGGTACGAAGAAAAAAAAGACACAAGAACATTGAGCACTACCTACAAAGATTTTTTTAATCGTGAATACAACACAACTAGCTACTGCACACATCATTTTATCACTCTGGGTTAATATAACTAATTATTAATGTCATCAGAGCACCAAAGCTCTACAAAATTGGTTACGATCACCGAAATACCACGTATACATATTTTACAACCATGAAAATCATTAGAAGAGTTTAGGATGGTCACCGGGACGACTCTGTATTACGCAGAGCTCACATTTTCACTACCAGCATGGGATCCAGCCGAATCTCCGACAAATACTCCCCGTTCGCGCATTTTGTCTCGCTAGAATTGCAATATGCCAAACTGAAATCGTAAACAAACAAAGTATGCACAGCACACAGACAGATAGTATTCTGCAGTTCATCCACATTTCCCGACTGGTAGCTCAACGATGGGGCCAATGATGGGACGTGGACTGCACGATGAGGCGTCAGAACTGCTACTTGTAAGGTCCGCAGCGCCTTCGTTCCTTGATGTGAAGCCGCTCAAAAGAGACTACCTCAAAGAACCGGGTCGGACTACTTGAACAAGAAAGAATTCCTACTGTAAGTTGAAGGCGATGTCAGTCTTTCAGGCGTTCATACTTTGCGTCGGCATACGCCAGCACACGGCATCATTTCGAGCGTGCGCCAGCGACCAGGAAAGTATAGGTATCGATCTAGCGTTAGTGTATGCCAGCGTACGGCAGCGCTTCTGGGGCAGTTCGAGCGTGAACAAAACTGCCTGCTAAAACGCTTGACTGGCATACGCTGATGGACGCTCAAAACGCCAGATCGATATCCACACTTCCTAGCCGCTCAAAAGCTACCGTACGCTGGCGTACACTAGATCGATAACTACATTTTCCCAGTCGCTGGCGCTACCCTCGAAAACTCGAGACGCTGCGGTACGCTGACGAAAAGTATGAACGCAGCCTAAAAAGGTCTGTACAGGCTTTTGGGTTCCTTTGAGTGCCTCATCTAGAGAACTGCACCGGGCCGCCCGAGCCGAACTGCAGCAATCCACGCCCCATCGCTTGCCCTATCTTTATATTGCAAATATCTGACTGCACCTTGAATATCTTGGCCAACCACACATTTCCAAATGCCCCCTCCAGCCCACTAATCGTGCAGTTGCAACCGTGAAGATTGTGTTTTCATGGGGATGAACTGCATCATACACACAAAGCTGAAGCGCTGAAGTGTGACGACAACAGAATAATTTAAAACACGTAGAGAACCAGACCTGTAGCAACTAATCGTAAAGCTGTAAGCACTGCAAGTAAAAGCACACTGAGGAATGATTATTAGGGTTAATGGGAGGGGGGTCTTCATCCGAGCGATTAGCATCTGTCTATTTGAAGGGTGAAGGGCAACAATCAGGCAAGTGAAGCTGTGTGCAGTAGGGTGAAGAAGTGACTTCAGGGTGAAGATTTTGACGACGATTCGGCAGAACATCATGACGTAACTGTGGTGCTGATCACATCTGATCATGTGGATCGTGACGTCGGTGATGATCCGTTGCTGAATGCAAGTGGTTAACAGGCACGCACACCACAGCACAACAATCACAATCATTCGCAAGGTCATATTAAAGGCAGTGGGCAGGATGGCTGGAGGCGGGCGGTTACTGCCAACGTCATTGGTTTGGCCACACCCCATCCGGCCCTTCCACCAATGACGTCACCATCAACCGCCTCCCTCGTGCCCACTGCTCTTAAATAAAAGTGATAAAAAAATAAAATCAACCGAACGTCACTACCGAAACGAGAGTTTGCATCAGCCAACCTTACACTCCCATAGAAAACATGTGCTTTGAAAATTGAAGAAAGTGCTTCATGCTGCATGGAACTATAACGGCCTACGACAGAGCAAAACTTCCACAGAGAAGGGTAAAAGTGCAGAAAAACTTCGGAAATTGAACCGTGAAACTTCTGAAAGCCCTATGTAATCGTAGTGAGTATCGAAATAATAGAGATGATAATAGGAGAGATAATGTAACCTCACAGAAAAGATAAGAGGTTTTGCAAATTCAAGGTAAATGAGAGTTTTTAAACTGTAAACATCGCTGATGCTCGATAATCGCTCAGGCCTGGCGTTATTCGGGGCCCACTGCTAATCATTGGACCGCTAGATCTTCTAATTCGACACAGAATAATCGAAATAAAACAAATTTGGACGATAACTAACTTGGAGGGAGCAATCAGTGGCGCTCCTGCGGCCCTTCTCGAACTAGATTCACACTTATTGTTCATGGAGACGAGGGACACAGAGGGACAGCTGAGAGGTGCGCTCTCCAACTAGGTTGGCACACAATTATGACCCATTTGTCGGACACTAGGTACAGTTAAAAAAAACAAATTAAAAATTGAGTCTAATGAGGGCCAGAAATGTCGAAGCAGGTATGACGAAATTAGAAGCTGCAGTGATCCAATGATTATCGGCGTAGCGTCATTGGTCATAGTCGCCTGAGTCGCGAAGTATATGCGATTCAGAACTTTGAATTCAAATTATTCTCGAATTCTTGAATAATAAAATAAAATCAGATTTCCAAGATCCCAGAAAAGTTAGAAAATCACTATGCTGACAATAATTCAAACCCCTGATAATTCCTCCATCACGAAGTTCCAGATGTTTACCAATTTTGAAGAACCCGTAAAGCAGATGCGACTGAACTCTAGGAAAGGTAAAGCCAAGCCCTGCACTAAGTGAGAAGAGCCGAGACCATCGAAAACCATAAATTTGAAGGAAGCAGAAGGACAAGCAATTCTCTCGATTAGCAGTCATAATCACCTTTCATACTGAAATCACAGCACTGCAGTTACCGGTGTTGCACGATAGATCCGATATAGCGGGTCGCTACCAAGCCCATTCAAATTTGGAGCCCTAACTAAACAACATTTCAAAAGTTACTGAGGTACGTAGAGTTGTAAAATCTGTCAAATAATAGTATAAATAGTGACGATAATTTTGACTTTCAAAAATAAGTGAGAACCATAAGAAATCATGCTCGTCAGTACGACTGTTTCGCTAACACTACAAAGAGTACAGGCGAGAATTGATTCATAAGGAATGAAGAAGACTTTGAAGCGATAACTTCGCGAGCCAAATTGCTTTGAAATTTAAGAAGTTTAGGGGAAAATGTTTACGGACAATCCCTCTCCATTAGATGCCCACATTCACTTCAAGATAGCTTCAAAGATAAATACATTCATATAGCTATTCACGACAACAATAAGAGAAATATACTTATGCAGAAGTGAAGACAAAGACACGAAGTCCAGTAGTGTCAAAGATGCCCACAGGTGGAAAAAGAGGCGGAGTTCGGCGTTTGGGGTGGAGGGTGGAGCGGCGGTGGTCGATGGGGGAGCCATTTTGCATTTTTTTGTTGCTAAACTACATTTGGTTCACCCGTCTCACTCCCGTGAAACCTGTGAACTCTTTGAAGCTGGAGCAAGCTGGTCATGGAGGGCATTTCTATGGTATTTCAGTGACTACAAGATTTGACAAGTGAATGGCAAACTTTGGCTGGTATCATTTTGTGGCTTCATAACATTTGCTCTCCACTTGGTGGTCTGACAGCTCGATGGGAAGCAGTTTTTTTTCTTAAAGAGCAAAATCCCTCCCCCCCTCGTCGAATTGCGCCGAGAAGGCAAGTCGGAAATGCTAGAGGTAAAGGTTGAGAATTGCTTACACAACTATCTTGGCGTAACTTGACAAAATGCACATTACTTGTGCGTACTGTAAAACAACGGCCTTATAGCACAATGACTGGCAATGAATGACGATAAGCTCCCGTATCGTTTCTGAACCCTCAAAGTAATGACCGAACAATCAAACACGCCGGCGACCAAGCTAAAAGCTTCTAGCAGTTCAAGTGCTCTTAACTTCGAATTCTATCCAGAATCAGAACGCCTTGACTCGAATATGCAAACATGATACCAATTTCCATACGAGTTTTCGCCTGTCCCAATTTTCCTAAATATTACAAATAAGCGGTCATCAGGAAGGCATCTAGAATATTCCCATCCCGCCCCAATAACACATACCAAGACGCAGACTATTTCATAAGAGACCCATATCTTAGGAAATCCATTTTCAAGGTTTCATGAAGCATTAGTTGCTGGTGAAGTGCTATTAGTTCATAGGCTAGTTGCAAAGAAGCAACATGAACTCATTATTGCGCTTGATTTTCGCTCCGTACTAACGATTTATTAATTTTGGGGTCCAGGAAAGCATTTATGGCCAGCATCTAAGCATCCTTAGGTTCATACGATGCCATCCCGAAATGAAAACATGTAGCATAGGTTACGATGTTAAAATGGTGACAAGCATGCGAGTTACAAAGGTACCGTTATGTGTTTTGTTATAAAGAAAAGCTATTCCACAATTCAAAACACAAAATCAACAAAGTTAAAAGGATCCGGTGCAACTGTAGTTGAGGTCTCAGAGTGTGTTCATATACTTTGCGATCTGACCGCTTGGTTCCCCCGACTGAAGTTTATACAGTACGCAGCCCAATCAAACTCTGCCGTTGCGGCGTTCCAGCGACTGACGGTGAAGTGTCCTCCGTCGCCGCCGCGCGATACAATCGTTCGAGGGCACTGAACGCCTGGATCGTGCCATAAGAGCGACCGGATCACGAAGTATGAACACATTCCAATAGATAGTTTTCCCAGCCCATTTTCAGCCTAGGAAAGAGCAGTGGCGATCAGAGTCCGAGCGCCTCCACACCGATTGGAGAGAAAGGACTTAGACGTGCGCGAGCCCTCAACTACAGTAGCGAGAACTTCTAACTATTCATATTTATATAAACACCTCCACCAAGAACTGGACGAAACGAAACAAATGAACCCGCGAAGACGTTAATAAAGCCTTAATACGTAACAAATATGATTGAATGGATTCGAAAACTCACAGTCGCTGGTTTGACGATGGATCCTGCTCATTACTTACTTGTATGGCATGAGTGGCCATCGTTACCGCTGGAGGCCCGACATCTGAGCGCTTCTCCATCCTTAAAAGACCCTAGTCAATAAGGTTTTGAATTCTCAAAGGAACTGTCACAAAAAGAACCAACCAAGGATGTGGTCAACAATACTCTGCGAAAAAGAACTTCCCAAAAGGTACCTTATCAAACCGAATTCGTCCACTCCCATTACGCAATCCGGAATTTCACGCCGTTTGAACACTTCAGCCACGAAGAGGGCCTAAAATTATCGGAACCCCTTTTCTCATCCTGGTCACTTACCTCACTGAGTTCAAACGAACTTACCACAAAAATACCTATTACACTTCCAACGAGGGCGCCCACGAGAACATCCGACCAATGGTGTTTGTAATCCGAGACCTGAGCGGGAAAGAAGAACGATAGCGTTTCTTTAGTCAAAACAAATAGTGAAACTTACTCGAGTCAGCGCCACGTAGGATGCTCCTAAGAACAACGAGAACTGAATAACGGGCAGTAACAGTCGGGAGAACAGAGGGCGCCAAAGACGAGCTTGCAGATACAACTAAACGAGATCAGATCAGTGAGATCTCATAAGTAGTCATTGTCCCTATGGAGGGCCAGCATCGAAATCATTGATTTGGTGTAATTGTGACAACTGCACTTTATTTCATTACGAAATTTGGTTACAAAACCTAAGGCTGCTCGCACATTGTGGCTAAGGAGATCCGGAATTTAAGGAGATTCGACGATTGTAGAAAGTATAACTACCGATCTGGCAACTGGGGAGAATCGGCGATACGGCGTTTCGGGAGACCGAGCGATCGAGTTGTTTGGGCGTCTTAGTTCAGGTCTATCAAGAACAGGCTACCGGGATAGCACCCCTTCTCCCATTTTCAAAACAAAGGCCTTCAACCTATAGGCACAGTCCACACGATTACCGTCGTCTCTGATGGAAATCCTAACCCTTGTCGTCTCATCATCTGAGACTAGGGCCCGATTTACCGGTAAGTGACGTTTCCTGAGACATCAAGCACGTTGCGTTGCGCATGTCCTCATACACTATGAACCTGTATCGGACAAGCACTCATAGGTCATCCAAATAAGCACTGCTTCATGGTACCCAACTTTTGTGATACTTTTCGAAGTTGGCTTCCAAAGACATGGATAATCAAGGCTACTCACCGATGTGAACCACGCTCCATAGAAACTGAAAGCGGCGTGACCTGAGTAAAAAGAGAGCTGTGATTCATGGATCAGCTTCTTATCACTTCCTAAGCATGTGAAGTTCGTAATGTACTGGTCGGGATTTTTGCACTAAAAAACCCAAACATAGATGGTATATATAGGACGAATCCCCTTGAAAAAACGTACTCCGTGTAACCAATATCTGGTTTGCAAACGTCCATGAAATGTGGTCTCTGCCGTCCGATAGTATACTTTCCAATGTCAACCAATAACTGATTGAAGCAAACACCGAGGAAAAAAAGTAATCCCTGGCAAAATAGGCCATTTTGCATAGTGGACTATAAAAAGCTTTGGACGTGACTTTGGCTGACAGGAGGGCAAATGGCAGTGTCAGTAGGGTCGTGTTTAATGTTCGCGATAGCAGGGGTCGTAGCGCCACAACACGCGTGGTTGGGACCGTCCTAATAACACTGCTACCAATCTCAACACAGCTATGGGGCACACCGAATGAGGGGTTAGGCAAATGGAAAATTCCACAGCCGCAGCCTCAAAACAGCATGATGACTATAGAACCACCATCACCCGATGGGCGACTGCTCTCCTATACTCTAGAGGATAGAGGCCCTACGCGATACCGTCCATGGCTGTACATCCTTCTTAAAAGAAACAAACCTAAATTTTTCTTACTGAGTCTGTTGTGGAGGTTCAGCCACCAGTGGGAGAGCATTGAGGAGGTAACGTTACGAAAAGGAAGCTTAGCAAACCTTCCGTATCATTACAAATCCATTGCTAGAACCTTAATATAGAAGATACCATGAAGATAACAAAAACCCAAAGAAGAGGCACTTGGACAGTTACATTGAATGTATGCTTTATCCCGTCAGCGTGAACTAATTCTCGAGACACCCATAAAAGGTCCATCTCCCGGTCGGTCGTGTGTTTTATCGCATCCTTCAACCTTTGGCAGCCGCAATCCTTCATCTAGTTGCGCTCAGGAGCAGATATCGTTATATTAAAGACTAAAACTTGGGAGGCAACGCATCACTATTTCCTTTAGAGGGACAAAGTAAATAATATAGCCGCGCTGCCAGGCGTGCTATTTATTGTCGCTCAAGACTATGATGTGACGAAACTAAAAGACATACCGATGAAGCAGTAGAGGCGGACAACTAGGCGATGAACCGAATATTGTTTCAAATGATACGTTTTGAACTGCGATTCACATTTCCTCTCCCAAGCCATCGTTCGAAAGAGTTCTGTGGCGATTATCTGCAAAGAGCTAATTCTGAAGAATACAGTTATCCAGAACAAGAACCTGACAATTATTCACACATTTATGCCGCGGCTGTCTCCATATTTTTCGGGAACTTGCACAGAATCTAAAGACGAACCAACTTAGGCGCGCAGTAGATAGTCTCCTCTGCGAACGCAGCTGCGATCCACAAAAGCTGACTGTCTTGCTCTCCGGCTGCACTCTTACTATTGATAATAAGCGATTAGGGAGATAACGCCAGCGTACCGCAGCGTTCCGCGAGCGACTAACGATAGAATCGATCTAGCGTTAGCGAATCGTACGCCTAGAGTTCCAAGAGTAAGCCAGTCGAGGCGGCCACTGGCAGCCCACCAAAACCTCAAAAACCGCCCAGGAAGAACGCTCAAAAATGCCGCGTACGCTCAGGACACGCTATCATCGATAGCTATAGTTGTCGCTAGTCACTTAAAAAACAGCCTACCACCGTACGCTAACAAGCTGACATCCAAGTGTATAATAGCAGCCTTATGTTAGCATGAGACTACGGTTAGGGGAACAGAGGCAGCTGTAGAGTGTCTGCGATGAGACACTCTACAAGCGGCCTCTGTTCCCCCTCGCCGCAGGCGTAAACAATTACCCGGGCGAGAAAAATGATGGTATCGATCTGATGTCCAACTGCTCATAAATCTCTAGCAAGCGCACAGCACTGCAATTTTCTGCATTTTGAACAGTGGCAGCCAAAAACCCATTTTTTTTTTTTTTTTTTTATGTTTTTTTTTGCGTTTTTTTTTTTTGTCCATAATTCTTCACACGACTCGGCTACATTTGAATCACTCGAACAAATAACATGCAGCGTGGACATGATGAATCACGGTATATGCTGCAAAAGATCACCCAATAGAACATGCGCATTTCAGTCTCCAAGAACATGCATCTAGCTTATTCTAGAATCCAGAAGAGCTCGAATTCTGACACAGTTCACAAGGCCGGTCTTCACCTCAGTGTGCGTGGAAATCGACCCTAGATACGCCCCTCCCGAATATCAATGGTTGGGAACGTTGCACGTGGACCTGAGAATAGTTGGCGCTCATCAAGGCATTCAACCAGTAAAAGTGTAAGATGAAGACGAAGTGAAGCCGAAACTTACCAAAATCGTAGGAATGAGCAGTCCAATAACGATCAACATTTGTCTCGATACGGTGGAGTCGCGGTAGGGATAGCGAATGGTCTCATCGTCGCAGTAGAACCCTCGTTTGTAAGGCTGTACCCAGACGTGGAAAATCAGCAATGGAATCGCTAAAATGACCAGTGCCTCAAACATATGGTACAAGCCTGGATGCGAATATATCATACGAGAAATAATTCAGGAAGTATAAATCCCATCTGATTGATTTAATTTCTTCAATTGCTAAGCCCAAGCTTCGATTAGGAAAAGCGATACAACGACGCTGCCGAGTGATATTCCCAACTACGTTAGCGCCGTGCAAGACTGTTGGATGCACACTGAATACCAGAATGTAGCCCAAACCCATCAAAACAATCTTAACGGTTACATTTTCATGCAGAATGTAGTCCCTCACGTCCTATGCATGGCACCAAATTTTCCTAAGTAAACAGCAGGACCCGTTTCGAGCGTAAAGCTTTGGATATCAATGGCAGCGAGCGCGAAACGGAAACAGCAAGTGATGCAACATTCGTCTTGGGAACCTATCCGAGCCTCAGCGTGGCAACGCTGCGGCATGTCGGCTATCTGCGTGCCTGTGTCACCAACTAGAAAAGCGTACGATGCACCGACTCGGAGTAGCGCAATGCAACTGCAGAGCACATGTCCACATTTGAGATAGTTGGATCCTGGAAGCCCGAGTTGTGACGCCGAACCTACATATTGTTTTTTACTCTTCTCTGTTGTGAGTTTGTCTCTCATGCATGTTGGATATTTAGACAGAAACAGAGTTATTCCTACCACGAGTTAACCAGCCAAACTTCATCCCTATGTGTTCGCACACTTAACTTTCTAAGAGAAATGGACTGTTACGAGCGAGTGGCGGGAGCGAAGGAGCAAGAGATGGGATTTGCTAAGTGACTATTCATATTCGGTATATGACCTTTTCCAAAGCGTTTGCTGTAATCAAGGCTGAAAATTTCCCATATTGCCAATATGCGCTTGTTAACAGAACGTGTCGAGCAGTAGGATGCATCGTTCGTGCAGTAGACTACGACTTCTCAGTATCGTGCTCACTCTATATTAGACGAGCTGGATCCGAACCTTTGCCTGGGGCGTATCGAGGCCTCTTCCACTCTGTTGGAGAGAGGAGCTAGAAGCTAGGTGGTCCCACTCATCAAGGGAAGCTTCTCTCACGCCGGTGTCAGGTCTGCTCCAACGTGTAACCGCAGGGAGCGTTCTGTCACCCCGTCCGGCATCCTTTTCTGTAGAACATGATTAGGTTCACCCTTTCCGCCACATTCTTCCGCTCAGAATAGGTTCGCAGTGAATGTTCGCATCATATGCTGAGGATTTACCAAGGATAATTAGTGCTAAGAGAGAATTGAATAGCGACACACATTCACACGAGTAACATACGAACAACAATAGCAGCACGTACCGCAATCACGCATCTAGGGAAGCATCGACATAAAAGTCGCAATAGTAATATCCAACGTAGAGTAATGCGATTGATGGTACCGACGCATGATGCGGTGTGGTAGCCCTGGTGCTTACTTGTGACCGTGATAGAGTAGCCGGAGTCGGACGTGCCGCCACACTATTGGCATTTCCACGCGAGGATATAAATGGGATTCTTGAGTAGGCTGCATTAACATCGCATTATATGCGTGCCATAAATGTGTTACCTCGGCGAATAGTTATAAGGAAGGCGTGCGTGAGATTAATGCGGATAGAGTGAGCTCGTAAGAACTCTTAAACGCAGCAAGAGGTCTGACGAGTCTTCTTCTACTTCTCGCGGAGAGATTGATAGCGTGAGTACTAGCTGAATCGCAATTCAGTCTGAGGTTGTGAGCACATACTCCGCCTCTAGCGCGCTGAGACGCTTCGATATATACGTCTCTTTCCACCAACTTTTCAGATGCTTGTATGACCAGAGATCCTTTGTGTTCTTAATAATGAGCCTATGCAAAGCAATATGTTCGCTCTATTCACTAATCACGAATACGCGACACGACAGTGTCTTTTTCCACTCGAAAACAGCGTCCCACATCAGCTCCGTTTTCGCCGGAAAAATCGACTATGTCAAAATAGTAAGTGTCTATAGTCGATAGCCAGTAGAACGAATTTATGAAAATGTGAGTACTGGTTCGCTTGAGCGGTGACAATATCATGTGACGGATAGCTGAGACCAAGGAGGACATGCTGAGAGTTATGCTGAATATAAGATGGTTGGACTTGAACTCTAATCTAGTATGAACCTCAGAGTGCGAGAACGAGACCCTGAGAGTGTTGGTAGCTGAAGTAGATTCTCGAGAGAGCTAGTGCCCATATTTGGGCAACAGACTGAAATCATACAAAAGGTCGCTAATTAGAGAATTGATGGCTCTTTGGTGAGAATCTTCTCTGTTCATCACGCCTTACTGGAAGGAACTGCCACCACAGCAATCACACCCTCTCTGAACGGAGTTGCTAAAATCATGCCGCAGGGCACTCATGAGCCCGCAGGGCACATCATTGGTTGGGGATTTTAGTCGAGTCTGTACGACCACCCCCCTTTTTGGGAGTTGGTACCCCCCAGCCCTCTGTCCTCCCTCATCGAATCGAGCCGTCGAACGGGGAGGAGGTGGGAGAGGGGGGGGGGGTGGGGAATACAGTACGCATGAAACAGGAAAAATCAAACCGCAACAGTCCAACCACTACTCCTACAGCGCCAAAAACGTAAATAAACGACCCCTGCCCTCCACCAGTGAAAAGTGGCGAACCGCTCCCAAAAATGACGAAGTAAGACCCCCCCCATATTGTTACAACGTCATCAAGCGAGAAAAATCAACACATATCAAAATAAATCTTCCTCAACACAAACAACGAGTCGCCCCCCTCCTCTGCTGCGGCCAAGATACACGCGACCCCTTCACCCCTCATGGGATTCCCAACAAGGATTTGCCTCTGACTGCCCCCGACATAAGCATATCTTGGCACAAGTCTACGTTTCGAGAACGCTTCAATGCTCTTCCTCCATTCCTGATTATAGTTTTCTTGGAGGCTGACCAGATAGCCCCAACCTTTTTCATTTTCTCATTTTTTTGTTGCGTCATTAGTTTTACCTATAGTTGCTGTGTTCTCCTTTATGGTCGATTTATGGTGTTGTGTATTCCTTTTTATGGTTATGTGGTTTGTTAACTAATTTCTCTAACCTCGTGTATCTAGCGTGGCAGACGTACAGCGTGGCAAATAAATAAATAAATAAGAGGGAGCAAAGGACACTTATCTTTACTTCGCATATCAGTAAGGTTTTACACAGCCAGATAGAACGGGGATAAGATCACCAGGGCAGAAGATACCCAAGATGATAAGTCTCGCACCTGTACACCAAAATATAAAGACATGTTCAATCGCAGCCGAACTGAAAAAGGCCTGTGGAATTCACGTCACCTCCAAACAGCTGCGAAACTTCTTGTATGGAGTTACCCATGCACAGCTACCTGGGGACCAACACTCTTGTTCTGGAAAACCTCCAACATGGAGCAGCTCCGACAACTCGCTGCGGTCCATGATATCATCCTCACCGCAGTTGCCAAGGCGCGGATGTATGATATGGACCGGAAGTTTCTTGGAATGGGAAGACCGATAAGACCGATATTTTGTTCGCGGATCCCGGACTGACATTGAACGCTGACGCTTACATCGACCATCTCGAGGAGAACATCTTGCCTTCATGTCGTCGCCCGTACCATCTTGGAAACTTCGCACTGCCACAGGATTGGGTGCCACCACACGGAATCGAAGGGCGTATGAAAAACTCTCGCCTACTTTTAACGAAGGGCGTTGAGAACCTGAAGAAGACGATATCCAAGTGTGCCACTTGTAAATTAGGAGGTGGAGGAAATCAGACGGCTTTCAAAGCATTGTTCCCTGTCTACAAGAGCTTGGAATCTGCAGGATTCCATGGAAACAATAAGACTATATTCATATTTTGCGTTAACGTCTTGAGCGACTAGGGAAGTACAGATATCGAACTAGCGTTCTAGCGGACGCCGGCGTTTCAGCGTTTTCGCGGGCAGTGCTAAAAAAGCTGGCGTACGCTCGAAACACTGACGCAAAATATGAACGCAGCCTGAAATACGTACTGATCGAGAAATCGAGGAATGGAGGATCGCAGAACCCGTAAAAAGAACTAAATGTGTTAGCGCTTAACCTGGGCATCCTTCATAGACTCAACATCTTAGGAACAGGAATATTGTGAGGGAAACCACAATCAAGCAACCACAATCAGCTAAACGCAATACAAAGCAATGCAGGTGTTACTCCATCGAGACTTACATAAATAGTTGCCAAAAATGGAGACTGTTCACAGTATGCAGAAAACAAGCGTGCGGCTGCGAGCGGTCAGCGTCTTTACAAGCATCCCTGTCGACTCATAACGCTGACTTATGGTTCACAATGAAGAAATTCTTTATAACGTGATAAGAGAGCAATTTGTGGAGCCAATTCAAAAGTAGGGCTTTTAAACGAATCACTGGAATAATTGCGACCCCTTTGTCGGAAAACTACTTCGGCACCTGAAAACTTTAATTCTGGCATGGGTGACATGCAGTTAATTACCTCACCCGAACCCGGTCATTCTTATTCTCTGCTGCACTCCCCCACCACCTACTGGATGGATACCATCTAAAAATCAGAACTTATAAACTACCCAAACTCTTTTTCCAGGAAGGTCCACCGAAAGTGATGAACCGCTCTCATATTCTTCAACAATGGTACTATTTTTGCGGAATCTATCTTGGCAAAGCTTCGGAAAGTTGCTGATTAAAATTAAAAACGCAAAACAAAAGACTGGAAATAAGAAAGAAAAATGAAAAGGAAAACTAAAAGTAAGAAAGAACGGAAAAATTCCATGCATTTTTAAAACTAACAAAATTATTAGTGCATTGAGTGAAGAAGCTTACATTTCCCCATGATAATGTCGAAGCTCTTCGTGTAGATGAACTGTGGAAGAAGAAGCGAGCACCCATAAATTCAGCAAGCGCGAATATGCGCAAATTTTTCGCAAGACCCGCGAAGGAGTACAGGTTAAATCGTGTTTAACATGTCAATATTGCCATGTGTCCATCAATATTACGAGTTGATGGACAGATGACTCGTTCTGTTTAGCTGGT